TCTTTTGTGTTGATTTTATAATAAATAAGAAAAATATTGTGACTCTGTTTAATAAAAGTACCACTTCTTGTATTTTGAGATAGAAAATATTAAAATAATATTCATTAAATGTCCTAGCACCATTGTCCTTTTGACCCTTCGACAGTACTAACGCAAAATCAGAAAACTAAACAAAATGTCTCCATCTACCTATAAATAAAAACCATTCCTTTCTTATCTTTTCATAGATATACACGTATTTGTCACATTTGTGGAAGATCGGAGACATAAAGACATTAATGTAACCATTCATTTCTTATCATTTCATATATATAACACATTTGTCAATGTCTTTATGTCTGCGATCTTCCATAAATGTGACTAATATGTCCCTCTCCTTCCACTCGAGGCATCCATGTTCTCAATCTTTTAAGAATTTGTGTCAACATGCAAGTGATGTCTAACTGAAATAGTAAAATTCTAAAAAAGAGCAATTTCTATTGTAATTTGAACAGTTATTGTTTAGTTTTTAAAATAATAGAAATAATTTTAGGACGAATTTACCTTTTAAGTCATACATCACATGGGTCTACTTGTTCATGCATTTTTTTTTTGTGTAAAGTGTATTTTAGAATAGTAGATTGATGGACAATGTGTGGTTAAAAATAAGAAAAAAATTAGATTTACGTGTAATATTATTTTATTGAAAAATGTTTGATTGAAAAAAAGAAAGAAAAATGTATTTTGAAGACAAGTAAGAGTTTTGAAACATTTGTGACACATATGAAAGGTTGAGAACCTCATCCTATAAATATGTATGGAAGTCACATGTTTGAAAGAAATCTAGGGCCCATTTTGTCTTTCGTTTTTGGAGCTCGGTTGGGTGTGGCTTTTCATTTCAAAAAATTGATTTTTTGATCGTTATTTCACTATTTCAACCATAAAATTGGACTTCTTCTCTTATAGATAAGCTCCATTTTTCTCATAACGATTAGAAAATCAATTTTCAAAATCACTTCCAAATCGAGCCTACTGCCTACTCTGAGCTGAAGTTTCTGATTTTTTGCATATGAGTGGGGTTCCTGGTGTGGTCGTGGTGCCTAGTGGGCATTGAGTCGAGGGCCTGTTGTGCGTACCAGTTCACATATTTCTCTTTCTCTCTCTACCTATACGTACACCTAAACTATATGTATATGTTTGGCTCTATCTGTTTGTCTTTGATTAGACCATGGAAATGTAGCACATATTGGCCAATATTGGGACCTACCACGCAAATCCGAGATTTTGATGTCAAAATTTTCCAAACTAAACGTGGCTTACGCCATTAGCAACCAAATTTCAATTAGTTGTGTTTCTCATTTCTCTGTTTAGATTTGTGGGTATCTATTTTTATGGCTTGCTTTGTCTTTGTACAACTAAGAATTGCGTAGTGTAAAATCAGTTATTTTTTGTTTTGGAGCTATTTCTTCCACGTGAAACAAGGTAGCTTTTTCTGACTTTTAAAGGGTAATATTTTCCCTTTTCTTGATATTAGTAATCTTTTACTTTCTGGGTTTTGCTTGGAACTGAAAATTCAAAGGTTTATTTGATGGTTTTCTGCAGTTTATTTGAAAAATTGCAAGCAGAGCGTCAAGCTGAAGAGGGTTTGAATCATCAATTTTATGGTTTAGGCGAGCAATTGTTTTTTATTTTTGAGTTGAAATATACTTTCGGTAACGTAATTTGTTCAGTTTTTTCATGTTTATCTAATTATCTTTGAAGTTAAGAGAAGTGAAGATATAANACAATATAATCAACTTAAATACTTATTTCACAAAATTTCGTAGATCTTAAATAAAAATTACTTATTTTGATAATAAAGTAAAATAACAATACACATGTGTTTTTATGGACCTATATCGATTCTATACTTTCCCAAACGTCTGTACAGTGAATCTTGGATCTCGGTATTAGGTAGCAGAAATTTATTTATTTTTATTTTAACCTAAGTCTGAAATAGTGTAGGCTTTGAATTTTGAATTGTTGAATTTCAAAAGATTACAAATGTTTGTTCAATTTTTTCCAGGGGTTGTTGGATAAGTAGCAACAAATATTTCCCCATCAATCCATTTTTTTAATGAGTAATGTTATTCATAGTCGTTCACTGCGGTAATCTCCCTACGTGACATTCACATGGCGGGTGATTATTTGATATATTAATAAGATAGTTTTTTTATTCATTAATGCATCAAATAACCACTTGCTATGTGTATGCCACGTAGGGCAACTGTCGTAGTGAGCGACTGCAAATAACATTATTCTTTTTTAATTGGCGTCTTCCCCCTTGATTTCAAATTCACATTTACGTTCGCAATATGTATTTTATGATGAAATGCACGATTGACTAACAATTATAAATTGTATGCTAAAGTTTAAATAGATCATTTTTTGATATTCAAGATAGAATTATATAAACAAACTAGAATATAGCCCTTGTTTGAGTTCCATTTTTGCTAAGAAAATGTATTTTTGAATAGTGTAATGATGTGAAATATGTGGTTAAAAAATAAGAAAAAGTTTTAGATTTTCGTGTAATATTATTTTATTGAAAAATGTTTGATTGAAATGATATCAAAACACTATTTAAGAATGTATTTTTTCAAAAAAAATGGGGCTCAAACAAGGGCATTGTATATGACGATTCTTGACATTTATTCTTGGTTTGTGAAGTAGTGACTACAATTTCTAGATTCTGTGTTTATGATCGTACTAATTCAAGAGTTTTTAATTCTCACCTTCACCCGTTTTTCACATAAATTCAAATGTAGTTGATTGGGTAGTTATGTTAAGTCAATTTATTTCAAAATAATTTGTGGGTAACATATTGTAGTGCAATGTCAAAATTATACTAGAGAAGTCCCTCATGGTGTGGTCGAGTTGGTGGAGTAGGTGAGCGCAGAGGTCTTTGATCATGAGTTCGATTCCCGCTACCAATATTTTGTCGGTTGAGTCTGTTACATCGAGTTTGCCTAGTGCGTTTTAACTGGCTGACATGACTTGTAGGCTATTGCGTTGTTCGAGAATTTATTCAGTACGCACCCAAAAAATAGCGACTGTGGGTTCCCCATCATAAAAAAAATAAAATAAAATAAAAATTATACTAGAGAAATAGTAAAAGGAACATAAGGGCCACACATTTGAACTCCACTATCTTTATTCTAAACCATTCCTCTACGACCAACCAAATTCAACCATTGGACTAAAGAAACAAGGAAAGTGAAAGGAAAGTGTCACTGACTTTTCCCAAATTTAAAGAAAGACAGAAAATTGAGCGAAAAGATAATATCTTTTGTGTTGATTTTATAATAAATAAGAAAAATATTGTGGCTCTGTTTAATAAAAGTACCACTTCTTGTATTTTGAGATAGAAAATATTAAAATAATATTCATTAAATGTCCTAGCACCATTGTCCTTTTGACCCTTCGACAGTACTAACGCAAAATCAGAAAACTAAACAAAATGTCTCCATCTACCTATAAATAATAACCATTCCTTTCTTATCATTTCATAGATATACACGTATTTGTCACACTTGTGGAAGATCGGAGACATAAAGACATTAATGTAACCATTCATTTCTTATCATTTCATATATATAACACATTTGTCAATGTCTTTATGTCTGCGATCTTCCATAAATGTGACTAATATGTCCCTATCATTCCACTCGAGGCATCCATGTTCTCAATCTTTTAAGAATTTGTGTCAACATGCAAGTGATGTCTGACTGAAATAGTAAAATTCTAAAAAAGAGCAATTTCTATTGTAATTTGAACAGTTATTGTTTAGTTTTTAAAATAATAGAAATAATTTTAGGACGAATTTACCTTTTAAGTCATACATCACATGGGTCTACCTGTTCATGCATTTTTTTTTTGTGTAAAGTGTATTTTAGAATAGTAGATTGATGGACAATGTGTGGTTAAAAATAAGAAAAAAATTAGATTTACGTGTAATATTATTTTATTGAAAAATATTTGATTGAAAAAAAGAAAGAAAAATGTATTTTGAAGACAAGTAAGAGTTTTGAAACATTTGTGACACATATGAAAGGTTGAGAACCTCATCCTATAAATATGTATGGAAGTCACATGTTTGAAAGAAATCTAGGGCCCATTTTGTCTTTCGTTTTTGGAGCTCGTTTGGGTGTGGCTTTTCATTTCAAAAAATTGATTTTTTGATCGTTATTTCACTATTTCAGCCATAAAATTGGACTTCTTCTCTTATAGATAGGCTCCATTTTTCTCATAACGATTAGAAAATCAATTTTCAAAATCACTTCCAAATCGAGCCTGCTGCCTACTCTGAGCTGAAGTTTCTGATTTTTTGCATATGAGTGGGGTTCCTGGTGTGGTCGTGGTGCCTAGTGGGCATTGAGTCGAGGGCCTGTTGTGCGTACCAGTTCACATATTTCTCTTTCTCTCTCTACCTATACGTACACCTAAACTATATGTATATGTTTGGCTCTATCTGTTTGTCTTTGATTAGACCATGGAAATGTAGCACATATTGGCCAATATTGGGACCTACCACGCAAATCCGAGATTTTGATGTCAAAATTTTCCAAACTAAACGTGGCTTACGCCATTAGCAACCAAATTTCAATTAGTTGTGTTTCTCATTTCTCTGTTTAGATTTGTGGGTATCTATTTTTATGGCTTGCTTTGTCTTTGTACAACTAAGAATTGCGTAGTGTAAAATCAGTTATTTTTTGTTTTGGAGCTATTTCTTCCACGTGAAACAAGGTAGCTTTTTCTGACTTTTAAAGGGTAATATTTTCCCTTTTCTTGATATTAGTAATCTTTTACTTTCTGGGTTTTGCTTGGAACTGAAAATTCAAAGGTTTATTTGATGGTTTTCTGCAGTTTATTTGAAAAATTGCAAGCAGAGCGTCAAGCTGAAGAGAGTTTGAATCATCAATTTTATGGTTTAGGCGAGCAATTGTTTTTTATTTTTGAGTTAAAATATACTTTCGGTAACGTAATTTGTTCAGTTTTTTCATGTTTATCTAATTATCTTTGAAGTTAAGAGAAGTGAAGATATAACTTTGATTTGGATTCTCTCCCCCGTTTATGTAGTTTTGCATTAATAAAAGTTGCCATTTGGTTGGCTTAATTTAGCAAGATTTATTTAATGTGGAAATAGAATTTTATTTGAGATTGTATAAAATTATTTTCTGCTTCATTTTATGTAGTTTTAGATTTTTATTTTTAATTTTCTATTTTTCTGAGAGCTGTGTGAATCTACCTGGGCTATTGCTATTGTATAAATTTCTGAGCTTCGTGCATAAGTTGTCAGAAATCAACATGCTGATGTAGAAACGAACTTGAGCTAGAAATCATTTGCAATCTGTGAAATCTTGAAACTGCCCTGGATAATGATATTCGGTGAGGATATTGAAGGACTGCCATCGTGGAGACTCTTCTCATCGTGGAGACTCTTCATAAGAATGACAACCAACTTGAAACTTCAATGAATGGTTAATGATAAAATTCTACTCACTTTTTTTTTTTTTTTTTTGTTACTACCCTCCATCCCCATAAAATTAAATTTTCTTAATGCTATATTAGTACAAATTAAAAATATAAATTTTGCTTGGGATTCGTTTGATTGCAAAGGTAAATAAAGCATGAAATTGTTGGAAAAAAAAAATCACCAAATTCATAAGAATTCCCCTTTTAAAAAAAAAAAAAAAAAAAAAAAAAAAAAGATCTTATTTCGAAAAAATATTTCATTCTCAGTTTCTGCAATTGCTTCTTATGTGAGGTTTATCTTTACCTCTGGCAATGCATTAATCATTTCCTAGACCATAGTTAGTTGTTAAATGAACATAGGAAGATGTTCATCTGTTTAACTTTATCCATAGATTAGTTATTGTTTTGCATGTCCTTTTATTTTGTCCGAAGAGGGAGGGGTAGACCAAAACTAACATGGTATGTGGTAGTTGCTTTGGTATTTAGCAATGAACCGAATGTGGTGGCTGAAAAAGATTCATGTAGCCAACCCATTATTGGTTAAAGATTAGTTGTTGGTCGACCCTTTTTGTTTTTCTCCATGATGCTTGTTCCAATTGAAGATAGCATTTCCTTTCTTGCTTTATATTTGATTTTCTTTAATATGCCTCTATTAACTGTTTGTGCAATTTGTTTTCAGGTTGTCTCATAGGATCAATTGCACGGAAGAAAGGTCAATGTTAAGTGGTATGCCTTTAGCTTGCTTACAGACAAGAATCTAGAAGTGACGAGTGTGTGTTTATTCTTAAAGTTTTCTTCACTGTTTGAGTTGGAAGATGGAAAACACAAATACCCATTTGGGGAAAGATGATCAGAACGATGAAGTGCCAGTGGAATGTGCGGGTGAAAATCGAGAATCAGCCAATGAAAATCTTTTGTCCAAAACATGTATAAGAAAGATAGAGCCAGGGCACACACTGTTGTTAAATGTTAGGCGATCACCAACTAGTGAAAATTGCAGTGAGAAGTTGTTCCTTCAAAATGTTAATGGTATACATAGTAAAATTCCAATGCACATATTAAGCTTTGATGAGAAATATGTTCTTCGTTGCCTTGAAATAATACGCACATATGCCTTGAGAGCAGCAGCACAGAGTTTCGCTTCAAAAATGGAAATTTTGTCAGATGCCAACGGAAGTTCATATAAAATAGCTAGATTAGGCAATCAATTTCCTTTGGTTGCAGAAACTGAAAGTATCGTAGTAAGCCCTGCTAGTGACTGGATTATGAGCCGGGTGACTGGTAGCAAGAGTGTGATGAACATATTGAAGAGCCCATTACTTCACCAGTTTGGCACCTTCGACAGTGATGTCAGTTTTGGAAGAAGAATACCTGATGTCAGTAGAGAAGTTTGTTCCTATTCTGTGAATTCTAGCTGTTCAGAGCATAAGGTACGAAAGGAGGTTACTGTTCTTGATCATGGATATGGATCTGTGCGTGCACATAAAAGGCATATATCCGTATCAAGCACAAACTCTACTTGTTCTGAACAGACGTCTTCTTCTGTATCTTCTGGAATGTATCAAGGAATGCTGCAAATTATATGGAAGGATGGGTTGCCACACCATGTTTTCTCCATAGATGAGAAGGAAGTCTATATAGCCAATTTGTCAAAGGCCGAGTCACCAGAAGATAGGGTTTTGGATTATGTTTACACATTTCATTCAAGTAAAAATGGACACAAAGAACGTGATATTTGTAAACATGGGTTAGAATTTGTTGGGAAGATGCGAGTCTCTACTTCAATCACATTATGTTCAAACAACTCGAAAATGCGGGAAACTCATTTTGTTTTATCTGGTTTCAATGGCAATCCCATAGGAGAGATGCAGGCCTCAAGTAGTGCCCTGAGGAAGAATAAGAGATTGACAAGGAAGTTAGTGAATGCTTTCAGGTCAAAGCAGAGATCGTCTTCCAAATTTGGGGGGACAAGTGCCATTTTTGAAGAGACTTCTTGGGACCCACCCCGAGATATGAAAAACAGTCTCGACCCAGATGATGGCAGTGCAGAAAATCAATATGTTGCAAATCTTGAGTTGGCTGCCATTGTTGTGAAAGACCATGTTTGCAACAATCGTAAGGAGGCAGGAGTTGGAGGATGGGGATTGAAGTTTCTAAAAAAAACTAGAAATAATCCATTATTAGAGACCTCAATACCTTCTGAATTTTGTCCGCGAAACAGTGGCGAATGCTCAACAAGCACGAACATTCTCGTACCAGCAGGTTTTCACGGGGGACCAAGAACTAGAATCGGTGGTCCTTCAACTCTTATTGATAGGTGGATCTCTGGTGGGCATTGTGACTGTGGGGGCTGGGATACAGGGTGCCCACTAACAGTACTCAATGCCAGGTCTAGCGGCGGTGATGCATCCTCTCAGGCAGATAATTCAGAAGAATGCAAGTCGTATGATTTCTTTATACAGGTTTGTCAAGTGCTCAGCATCCTTTGTTTTCTTTCTATTCATTTAATCTTGTCATTTAAGGCTTTTATAGTTCTTACCATAATTTCCTTGTGCAATTTTACATGATGCTTTACTTTGGAAACCTGAATTTACCATTTTTTTTTATGTTGTTTTGAAGTTTGTATATACTCAGTAAAGCGTTAAAATTACTTTAGTCGATTGCCAATTTTGCAGGGTTCGAAGCAAAACACACCGATAATGAAAATGGTGAATATCCACGACGGTTTATATTACATCCATTTCCAATCAACTCTATCTGCACTACAGTCTTTTGCTATAGCTGCTGCAATTATTCATTCTCGTAGCCCTTCTCTACGATCCAAAGTGTACAGGAGTTGAGGCGACAAAGTTCAGGTTTTAGTTTGCACAAAATACAGCTTTTACGCATGTTTATTTACCATGTGTTAGTATGCTAATTCTTTTATCATGGGAATTGGTTTCTCTAATGCCAAATTGCTTCTATTTTCGAGGTTACTTGGCTCTGATGTAACAAATATATCTGCTGCTGTATTCCTGGCATAGTGTTACTTTAGGTCAACATACAGATTTCCTTCACTGGGATATGAACATTGAATCCTAAGTTCAGTCAGTTATCTGCATAATATTACAACGAAAAATTAAGTTCGATTACCAATAAATTTAGGGTTCTCTACATTACTTCTTTTTTGCCACTAGTTCCTTGCATTGTTTGAATTGGTGCTTGGTTTTTGGTGTCGCTGTTACCGTTTATTTCATTTCATAATCTTTTTTTTTTTTTGGGTCATACTTATTTTTTTGAATTAGTCTATGGTTGTACTGTGAGATGTTATTAGTGGTTTAACTTTAGCCATAAAGAAGATAGTGGGAACTGGGAATCTGAAGTCTAGTTCTCCTTAATTTTAGGAAATCATGATATATTTTCTTGTAATTATACCAAGCAACAAATGAATAAAATGTTAATGAATTAATTTGCAGACTTATTGTTTGTCTTGGGAGGTTTGGATTTTTTCGAATTAAGCTTTACATTTCGTTTTTAGCACACATTCTCTTGCAAACGCTGTTCCATTTGAGAGTCATAACGATTCTGATCCTAAGTAATTGGAGCTATCATGGGAAGGGTTAATTCCATTTGCAGTGATTGTACTTTTACTTAAATCTCTTTAGATCTCTTAGGTAGGTAGTTTGGTGGCTGTACTTTAATTTGATCTCAAAACTTATCACTCTTTCTAATTTCGTAATTTTCACCTAAATGCTGACGTGTCTGATGGTGTAAACTTAGCCCTCTCTGACAATCATTATTTTCAAACTTTTTTCTGCTCATTTTCAATAACATTCAGATAATAAAATATTTTACATATGAATCCATTTTTTTTTACCACACATTCTCCTAAAAATTGATATTCAAAGCATTATTATTATTATTATTTTTAAAATAATGACCACCAAACAAGGGCTTAGTTAATGGTCAACACCAACTGCTTTTGGTCCCAAAATTTTGGGGTTGCTTTTTTCAACGATTATTGCTTACATTTCTTTATGCTATTTGCACCTGTGACTGGCTTATGGATGAAGTATAAAGTCAATTAGCTAGGGTTAAAAACAAGGAAGGAGGAGATAGACTGAGGTGGCGACAAATAGTTAGGAGTATTTGTTTTCATTTTTCAAACTATCCAATCGCGTGGTCACCCCTATTTTTGAGCCTGTTTTTCATCCTCAACGTGTAGCACAATTGATGGATGAATTGTTTTAGGGCTTGCAATGCTTGTTTGATATGCATTTTTGCTTTTGCTTCTTATGTAAGAGTTTTTTAAATAATTTCCTATTTTGAAAGTGCTTTTAGAGAAAGTTACATTGATCCAGCTTCCTCTAAAAGCACTTTTGACTGGTAGAAACACTTTCATAAATTTAACCAAACAAATCCAAAAAAACTTTCGGGTCTTAAAAATCATACCAAATAGACCCTTAATAAATGAATTCTATTTGTCATCTCGATGACCCTTATCACATTTAGACGATATTAAATGATAGGTCCAATGGATTTCATGTTCATGCTTATAATTTAGCCTATCGTTTTATGCGATAGTTTTATTAGTTGAGTGATATGATCATTGATGATTATATTCCTATAAATAAGATTATGTTAAAATGAACCACCTGTATAGGAGGTGCACGGTTGTGTTGACTTCAAATGCTACCATCTTCAAAGTTGTTGCACCAAAAGAAATAATATTAAGCCCTTGTTTGTCCTCATTTGACAAATTAAATTGTTTGTTACAGTAATATTTTTCATCACACATTCGCACCATAAGATATTCTATACACAAATCAATAAAGTTTATTTAAATTTTAACCATACATTCTTTGAAAAATACTATTCAAAATTTTATAATTTTTCTCATAATGGGCGACAAACAGACTCTAAATGTACCAGTAGAACCACCCGGTTGTTGTATAGACTATTGTTAACACTACTCGAGTTAAATGACATTAATTGGAGTGAATGCGATTAGATATCCTAGCAATTCAAGACGTATAGTACAATGAGTTATTTGCCCTTCATGGATTGTTTGGGGCTCTTGCTTTTAAAAGGGAATAATGACCGGTGACCATCATAATTATAAATAATTGCCGGAAAACTATAATGTTGCAGCTTGGATACTCGATAGAAATGTATCCATTTATAATTTAAATAGTTTATAAACACTTGTAAATGTGCTTAAAGGTTCTAGTACTCTGTAATATAGAATATTCAGCACACATTATCATTATTTTATTATGTATATTGAATAATTAAAACACGCTATTTAAATGGGATCAGATATGAATAAATAAATATTGAGCTCCTTTTGGGGTACAACAAATCGTTAATTCGCCCATCCAATTGACAAATAAAGTATTCGTTACAAGTTAAAAATTTGAAAGGCCATTGAACTTTGTATAATTATTTTATTGACCATTAAACTTTGAAAGGTTTTCGGATGGTCAATGAACTTATTATCGCTATTCCATTAATTAATAAACTTTATAAGTTTTTAGAATGATCATCAAACTTATCAAATCATCATTTCATAATTTATCACTCAATAACTTGCCATTAAAAGATTAAACGGATTTACAGACGAGACAAATGAAAATGTTGACATGGCACACTATTATCGCTAGTTGATGACAAATAAGTGAAAAATGTGTCTATAAAAATGCGATTAACGGGAAAAAACAATTAACAATAATATTAAATAAAAATATAGATAAACAAAAGAAAACAGACAAATGTTAAAATTCAATCACTTTCTATAAGCACTTTTAATGTATTGAAGCACAATTTAACTAATTTGTCATCAACTAACAACAATAATATGTCATATCTACGTTTTTGTTTGCTTTGTCACGGAGTACATCAAATTTTCTAACAGTAAATGGGATAGTTATTTCATAAATTCATTGATCATCCGAGAAATTAAAGTTTAATAGTTAATAAGATAATGATTGATAAGTTTTTTAAAATTTAATGGTCAATGATATAACAATTTGATAAGTTCGATGATAATCTAAAAAACTTTTAAAATTCTAAAGGTCAATAAAAATATTGTACAAAGTTTAATGGCCATATGAATTTTTAACCCACTAATTCTTACAATTAATAAATATTCGAATTCTGTGACGTGTCCTCATCATAATGAGTTATTACATAGTAATTTGACATTCTTACCATATTTCATGATGACGGGGCGGGTCCGATTCTCACTTCAACAAAATTTTTGTTTGAAAATTACAAAATGGATTAGCAATAAGTGGAAATTACACAAATCCAAGAGTTTAAACATCACAATTCAAAAATCATGGCTTAAGTTTCATTATGCAAAAATCAGGTTTGATTTAATAATTTAAATACTAATTTCTCTCAATTCAATTTTCCCAACCCTAATTTTACGTTATGTTTTCTCTCTCTACCGTCTTCATACTCTCCCATCTCTCTATCTTGAAACACCACTGTCGCAATCATTGGCGGCGATTCACGACAGTGACGACGATAACGACGGAGGCGAGCCTTGGAAGAAACCTCCTCAGTTTTGATGGTGCAGCGACACTCCTCTCACGAACGGAGAAGAATCACTGCCCCCACTTTTCAGATCAAATATGGCGACCAGTTTTTGCATAACGTTGAGTGGCGATTGTTGCAAGAATCGTGACTGGTTGCAATATGTTGCCGGACATTGAACGCTAACAGTCGCAGGTAAGGTGTTGGTGGTGGTGGACAATGTTGATGGTGGTGCGATGGATACCGTGGATTTAGAGGCGAGTCTATGTGATCTGCCTGTGGTTGTATGTGTGGTGGTGTTGGTGGTAATGTGTGTGGTACTTCTGGCAGTGTTGATGCTATCGTGGTGGTGGTAATGGAGTGGTGGTTGTGCGGTGTTGGGGTAGTGGACATGCTGGTGGTGGTGCAAGTAGGAATGGTGATGTTTTTTTGGTTGAGGGAGTGGTGGTGTTTTGGTTGTGTCGGGGAAATTGGGTGGTTATTGTTGTTAGTGGAACTAGCAGTGGTGGTAGTGTCGGCGGCGACGGGGTGAGGGTGAGGGTGTTGGTGGTATGTAATGTGACCAATTATTTGACCTGTGACTGATTGTTTGATTCCCTGTGACCAACTCTTTCATTACGTGTGACCAATTATTTAACTATGAACTTAAAATTTGATAATTGTGATCAACAAATTCAAAAACATGTGATTGATTAATAAACTGTGACTTATAATTTTTTCATCTATAATTAATTAAATAAATCATGACCTGTAAAAATTTTCATTCGTGACCTCGAAATAATTTGTGACTAGTTAATTTGATAATACGTGACCAATAAACAAGTTTGTAACCTATAATTATGAACATGTGATCATTAATGGTATATACGTGATCTTATTATTTTCAATTAATAAAATCTATTTATTTAATAAATGAAAACCTGATTTTTACATTTTCAAAACTTTAGACATGAAAATTGTCTTATCCATACTTAATACCTTAATTGTGAATTTTACCCTAGCAATAATGTGATGATTTTAAAAGGGGCCAATTTTGTGCAGTAAAGGAGTTTTTTGGGCCTAAATTTCGGGTTGGGCTACAACCCAATCATCTTACTTGAAAATCCGACTCTACAAACAGAGAGAGATAAGGGTTTTTTTCCTTCGTAGTAATTAGTGGAGAACAATTTAGGGTGAAGGAGGGGGATAAAGGGACGTATTCATCACCCTTGGCACTAATTTATCTCGTGTTGCAGTGATTTCTACTCGACTTCTTCAACAGCAAACTTGGAAGGTAGTGTCAGATTTTTTTATGTAATCGCACTCGATCTGATTATTGCGAATGGTTTGATTTCAAAATATATATATATATATATTTTAAAATTGTTGTTCTTGATGATAATCTTCCTCTGGCAACTGTGATTTTTCTCGACAACATTTCTCTTGAGTTTTTGATGCGGTTGTTTACGGTTTTCTTTTAGTTACAGCCAGTATTGTGGTTCCGTGATATAAGTGGTAAATAGATTAATAAAAAGTAATTTGATTGTCGTTCTCTGGATTGTTTTTCACGGACAATTGGATATGTATCATTTCTAACATTTCATGCCACCAAACTAATCCTTGTCCATTCTGAGATTGAGAAGTACTTCACAGTTCCAAATCCAAGCGGAGCTGTAATTTTATAATACAGTTGAAGATTATCAATGGTCTGGTTGACTAAAAAAAATAAAAATAAAAGAAACTAATAAGCACATTGTTAGGAAGAATAAAAAATCTGAAATGTCCTTTCAGGGCGTCTTTTTACTTATGGTGTCTTCATGATGTATGAATTCTTGCACTGCAGTGCCTTCGCTTCCTTGGTTGCCTTCATGCCTTGGTGCTTCAATTTGTGCCAAAATGATTATTTCTAGATCAAGATCCCTTTGCTAAACATAAAAATGCACTACATATGTTTATGTAACTATATGACTTTTTAAATCTGCTTGGAGAGGTGAGAGTGCTTTGATGGTGCAATCTATATGCTTATGTAATCAACAACAACAAAGCCTATTTGCAATAAATTTGATGTGGATTATTTGAGTTTTATATATATATATATATATATATATATCATCCGCTCGAAAAGCTTCATTGCTACTGCTGGCTTTTGCTAGAAGAATGAAAACTAAAATCCTTAGCAATTGCAAATATGCAATGTTAGTTTTGATAGGCCACATTACTCCTTCTAACATGTTCACCGGGGTTATATCACTTACGAACGAGAGCCTTTTCTTATTTTAATCATAAGGGTTAATTAAAAGGTCTAACAGTCTAAGTGTGTGGTCTATTCAAAATCGCATCAACATCTGTTAGCTGAAGGATAATTAGCGGACAACTTGATATGCTTTAATTTTATGATATCACAATTCAAGGTTGTCAATGGTGTCAGTAGGTCTAAGCTGTTTTTATCTTCTGTTGTTTCTTCTCATAAGTTGAAAACAACATCTATTTAATTACACTAACATGTGAGAAAAAAGTCTAGCTAATTAATCATTATTAAAGTTGGGTTGGTTAAGTCGAAGTAAGGAAACATGTCAATACTATATAAGCCATATTTCTGTTGCTTCTTGCTATCACTTATAATTATATTTTCCCAATAGAGGTGGATTGTTTTAAATGCCTCAGTGCCACTTGTGGGCAATGTAGAGGAAGAATAGTTAGACACTGTTGAGGGATTTGACTCTCGTAGTACACGACTGAATCCTATTATTCTGGCAAAAGGGATAACTTCAAGGATTTTGGATTTGTTGTAGAGTCCTGTGAGAATCTTGTTTTGATTACGAATGTGCTCAAACAGCCTCAAGGACTTCAAGCTTCATTAGCTTATGGCTACATAGTTGATGCCTTTATTGGATATTATCCTATATTGGTAGAAATTTTTGAAGTGTCTCTCCTTGTCTAACAGTTAATGGAAATATACAACAAAGAATAAACCTTTTGTTGGAAACACAAACACTATACATTATAAGGACGTGCACAAGAGGATAATTAGAAAGCTTATGATTCTTAACTGCTGAACATTGGTACATTCGGGTGGTTAACAACTACGACGTCGCAGTAGAACTTAGATTCATTGAAAGTTGCTGTTGTTTATTGTCTTCAAATATTTCTTTTTGACACACACACACACACATTTGTCTCAGATGCAGTAATTTCTTGGAAGGCTTATAATGATGATGTGATTTCTGAATCCAACCTATGTGGCATCCCATCCTATCCTTTTCCTAATTTCCTTCTGAACTCATTGGCACACTGCAGGACTGGAACTCTAGACCTAAAGAAGATTAAACTGAGTGCTATGGGGAGATCCAATCAGCACAAAGAGGGATATGGAAACATTGTTGAACTATCCCAGGATAATTGCTTGGAGGGCACTTCAGCGAGGACAAGACCTTTTAGTTTTGATGAGATATTGCTTAGAAGAAAAAACAAGGAAGAGATTGCTGAGAAAGTTAAAGATGATCCAGGGGGAATGGATAGTGCATTAGCAAAAAAGAATATTGAGAAGGCTTCTGAAAATTCAGAATTGTGTAGGCACAGGCATGAGGATGCTTTATCCAGTGGTTTGAAAAATGCTTTAAATGATCCACAAAATATAAGTTCTCGAGAAAGGGAGATTAAAGAAGAGAACTTATTCATGGATAAAGATAAGGAAAACCCAAAATCAAAATCTAAAGTGGTAAAAAATATAAGCAGGAAAACTGAGAGACATTCTCACGGAAAAGGAAAAAAGGATGGTTGGTCAATTGGCGATAATGAAAATGAATCTGATAAGATGCGATCGAGAAATTCGGTCAGGAAGGACAGATTAGCTGAAAGAATTGAAGGAAAATCAGAAAAAGATAGAGAGCGTGAACGTCAAGTTAACATCGAGGATAGACAGGTCCAATTCAATAGAAAACATGACTATCGTATGAGCAATGATTCTGAGAATGAACCTGTGAAAAGACATGGAAGAGATATGATGGGACCTGATATATATGCTGACAGAAGTAGAGGAAAATTTGAAAATGAAAATAAAAGCAAAAGGAAACACCGTAATGAAGATGAAGATAAACTTAGAGACACTGGTAGAGAACATCATCTGGAAAGAAAATACAAGGATGCAACACGAATCCACCATGAAGAGTCAAGGCCAAAAAGGAGACGGTCGCGGAGTGTAGAGCGTGGCATAGGAAGAGGCAGAAGGTCTCCTTCGCATTCACCTAAGACACATAAGCTTACATCTAAAGATACTCGGGAAAAAGGAGAATTATCTTTACATTCATCACGAGATAGATCAAGAAGATCACGGAGTAGGGATCGTGACAGAGACAGAGGTAAAAGGTCATCTTCATGTTCACCTAAGACACGTAAGCGTGCATCAGATAGATCAGGAAGATCACGGAGTAGGGATCGTGACAGAGACAGAGGTAAAAGGTCATCTTCACGTTCACCTAAGACACATAAGCATGCATCAATAGATACTCTGGATCAAGGAGAATTATCTTTACATTTATCACGAGACAGATCAGGTAGATCGCGGAGTAGGGATCGTGACAAAGACAGAGGTAAAAGGTCTCCTTCGCATTCACCTAATACACATAAGCATACACCTATAGATATTCGAGAACAAGAAGCATCACTACATTCATCAAGAGACAGATCAGGAAGATCACAGTCTGATGTTGACTGGAATAGGATGTTAAGTAATGGTTCCAGTAGTCACTACGGGCAAAATGCTGGATCTTCCAGTGGGCTCGGTGGTTATTCTCCTAGAAAGAGGAAAACTGATACTGCTGCTAAAACTCCTTCTCCTACTCGCCGCTCTCCAGAGAGGAGAACTGCTGGGTGGGATCTCCCACCTGTTGGAAAAGAAAGCAACAATTACCTTTTTCCTAATTCCCTGTCTTCAGGCCAAATGGTATCATCGAACAAAACTGAGTTACCCAGTGTTACTCCAGTGGCTCCAAAGGTGGTGAAGCCGGATAGTGTTTCTTTCCATGCTTCACAGATTCATGTCGTTGAATCCATCCAACTGACTCAAGCAACCCGACCTATGAGAAGGCTCTATGTAGAAAACTTGTCTGCTTCAGCTTCTGAGAAAGCTTTAATGGAATGTGTTAATAACTTCCTACTATCTTCGGGCGTCTACCACATTCAAGGAACCCATCCTTGTATCAGCTGTATAGTATGTATCCAATCATTTTTTTAGTCTGCCTTACCTATAATTGCCATGCCTGCTTGTGTAAGGATTTAATGAGTCTGTATATTACTGCAGATACACAAGGAGAAGGGCCAAGCTCTTTTGGAATTTTTAACTCCTCAGGATGCTTCAGCTGCTCTCTCTTTTGATGGAAAATCCTTTGATGGGAGTGTTCTTAAACTCAGACGCCCCAAAGACTACAGTGAAGTAACTGTAAGAATTATAACCATGCGAACTTCCTTTTTTCTTCCCTTATGGTTGATCACAATAGTTACATATGTATTTTTTGTTAATTAGTAGGGACATGCTAAGCAGAAATATATTCATGTTGGTATTACACTTTGGCTTGTTAAAAATAAATTTTTTTGCCATTTTGCGTTCAGTTCCTTTCTTCCCTATTTATTCCAAGGAAGGTATTGTGTAATGTTATTTGACATCACAAGCTATTGTTGTTTCCTCAAGAAAAGGGCATGGCATAATTAAAGATCTTGTACGGTTTGGCTTTGATGCAGAAGGTAGAGAATAGAGAAATATGAATGTTTACTATTGATCTAGTGAGAGTGAAAGGGTAAGAGAGCTATTCAAAATGTAACATAATTTCTCTTTAGGCCAAAACTTTGCTCAAGCTTCTTTTGTTTTGGCACCACAAATTCTTGGTGTGGGATGAATTCTTTGACTATGACCAATCCTAATTATTATATTTGGCATGGAGCATGGAGATGGTTAACCACCATATCATACCCTCTCCCAACAAGTAAAGAAATACTAAAAATATAGCAAAAGAGAATCATTCATGATGGTCTACCTCAATATATATGATTAGGGTTGGGCAAAACCCAACTCAAATCGCTCAACACAAATCAAAACGATTTGTTTGGGTTGGTTTTTAAGTCCAATTGGGTTGGGTCAGGTTAGGTAGAAAATTAATTTTCGGTTGGATTGGGTTGGGTTTGGGTTATGATTTAAAACCCAACTTGACCCGAACCCAACCCGATGAATTAAAATAATTAATATCTAAGATGAAAAAAAACTAAATAAACACAATATATGAGAAGGACTTATAATTTATAAATGTCCATTTCTTATATAGACTGATTCATATGAACACTTTGTACAAATGAAATATTATTTGATAATAAAGTAAAAATTAAGAGCATGACGATGAAATGAATAAATCCCAAAAAAATTTAAAAAAAAAAAAATTAAGCTTCTTAAATTTTAAACTTATTTATAGATTATTTTGTAGTATAATTCCTTATATAAATATTAAAAAAAATAGAGGTTTTCAAGTAATTTAAAATTTTAAAAATTTATCTAAATTCAACAAAAAAAAAAAGAAAATAATCGGATCCAATTTTAATTGGGCCGAACCCCAAACCGACCAACCCGACCCAAACCGACCCGAATGATACTAAGTAATTGGAGCTATCATGGGAAGGGTTAATTCCATTTGCAGTGATTGTACTTTTACTTAAATCTCTTTAGATCTCTTAGGTAGGTAGTTTGGTGGCTGTACTTTAATTTGATCTCAAAACTTATCACTCTTTCTAATTTCGTAATTTTCACCTAAATGCTGACGTGTCTGATGGTGTAAACTTAGCCCTCTCTGACAATCATTATTTTCAAACTTTTTTCTGCTCATTTTCAATCACATTCAGATAATAAAATATTTTACATATGAATCCATTTTTTTTACCACACATTCTCCTAAAAATTGATATTCAAAGCATTATTATTATTATTATTTTTAAAATAATGACCACCAAACAAGGGCTTAGTTAATGGTCAACACCAACTGCTTTTGGTCCCAAAATTTTGGGGTTGCTTTTTTCAACGATTATTGCTTACATTTCTTTATGCTATTTGCACCTGTGACTGGCTTATGGATGAAGTATAAAGTCAATTAGCTAGGGTTAAAAACAAGGAAGGAGGAGATAGACTGAGGTGGCGACAAATAGTTAGGAGTATTTGTTTTCATTTTTCAAACTATCCAATCGCGTGGTCACCCCTATTTTTGAGCCTGTTTTTCATCCTCAACGTGTAGCACAATTGATGGATGAATTGTTTTAGGGCTTGCAATGCTTGTTTGATATGCATTTTTGCTTTTGCTTCTTATGTAAGAGTTTTTTAAATAATTTCCTATTTTGAAAGTGCTTTTAGAGAAAGTTACATTGATCCAGCTTCCTCTAAAAGCACTTTTGACTGGTAGAAACACTTTCATAAATTTAACCAAACAAATCCAAAAAAACTTTCGGGTCTTAAAAATCATACCAAATAGACCCTTAATAAATGAATTCTATTTGTCATCTCGATGACCCTTATTACATTTAGACAACATTAAATGATAGGTCCAATGGATTTCATGTTCATGCTTATAATTTAGCCTATCGTTTAATGCGATAGTTTTATTAGTTGAGTGATATGATCATTGATGATTATATTCCTATAAATAAGATTATGTTAAAATGAACCACCTGTATAGGAGGTGCACGGTTGTGTTGACTTCAAATGCTACCGTCTTCAAAGTTGTTGCACCAAAAGAAATAATATTAAGCCCTTGTTTGTCCTCATTTGACAAATTAAATTGTTTGTTACAGTAATATTTTTCATCACACATTCGCACCATAAGATATTCTATACACAAATCAATAAAGTTTATTTAAATTTTAACCATACATTCTTTGAAAAATACTATTCAAAATTTTATAATTTTTCTCATAATGGGCGACAAACAGACTCTAAATGTACCAGTAGAACCACCCGGTTGTTGTATAGACTATTGTTAACACTACTCGAGTTAAATGACATTAATTGGAGTGAATGCGATTAGATATCCTAGCAATTCAAGACGTATAGTACAATGAGTTATTTGCCCTTCATGGATTGTTTGGGGCTCTTGCTTTTAAAAGGGAATAATGACCGGTGACCATCATAATTATAAATAATTGCCGGAAAACTATAATGTTGCAGCTTGGATACTCGATAGAAATGTATCCATTTATAATTTAAATAGTTTATAAACACTTGTAAATGTGCTTAAAGGTTCTAGTACTCTGTAATATAGAATATTCAGCACACATCATCATTATTTTATTATGTATATTGAATAATTAAAACACGCTATTTAAATGGGATCAGATATGAATAAATAAATATTGAGCTCCTTTTGGGGTACAACAAATCGTTAATTCGCCCATCCAATTGACAAATAAAGTATTCGTTACAAGTTAAAAATTTGAAAGGCCATTGAACTTTGTATAATTATTTTATTGACCATTAAACTTTGAAAGGTTTTCGGATGGTCACTGAACTTATTATCGCTATTCCATTAATTAATAAACTTTATAAGTTTTTAGAATGATCATCAAACTTATCAAATCATCATTTCATAATTTATCACTCAATAACTTGCCATTAAAAGATTAAACGGATTTACAGACGAGACAAATGAAAACGTCGACACGGCACACTATTATCGCTAGTTGATGACAAATAAGCGAAAAATGTGTCTATAAAAATGCGATTAAAGGGAAAAAACAATTAAAAAATAATATTAAATAAAAATATAGATAAAGACAAATGTTAAAATTCAATCATTTTCTATAAGCGCTTTTAATGTATTGAAGCACAATTTAACTAATTTGTCATCAACTAACAACAATAATATGTCATATCTACGTTTTTGTTTGCTTTGTCACGGAGTACATCAAATTTTCTAACAGTAAATGGGATAGTTATTTCATAAATTCATTGATCATCCGAGAAATTAAAGTTTAATATTTAATAAGATAATGATTGATAAGTTTTTTAAAATTTAATGGTCAATGATATAACAATTTGATAAGTTCGATGATAATCTAAAAAACTTTTAAAATTCTAAAGGTCAATAAAAATACTGTACAAAGTTTAATGGCCATATGAATTTTTAATCCACTAATTCTTACAGTTAATATTAATTCGAATTCTGTGACCTGTCCTCATAATGAGTTATTACATAGTAATTTGACATTCTTACCATATTTCATGATGACGGGGCGGGTCCGATTCTCACTTCAACAAAATTTTTGGTCGAAAATTACAAAATGGATTAGCAATAAGTGGAAATTACACAAATCCAAGGATTTAAACATCACAATTCAAAAATCATGGCTTAAGTTTCATTATGCAAAAATCAGGTTTGATTTAATAATTTAAATACTAATTTCTTTCAATTCAATTTTCCCAACCCTAATTTTACGTTATGTTTTCTCTCTCTACCGTCTTCATACTCTCCCTTCTCTCTATCTTGAAACACCACTGTCGCAATCATTGGCGGCGATTCACGACAGTGACGACGATAACGACGGAGGCGAGCCTTGGAAGAAACCTCCTCAGTTTTGATGGTGCAGCGACACTCCTCTCACGAACGGAGAAGAATCACTGCCCCCACTTTTCAGATCAAATATGGCGACCAGTTTTTGCATAACGTTGAGTGGCGATTGTTGCAAGAATCGTGACTGGTTGCAATCTGTTGCCAGACATTGAACGCTAACAGTCGCAGGTGAGGTGTTGGTGGTGGTGGACAATGTTGATGGTGGTGCGATGGATACCGTGGATTTAGAGGCGAGTCTATGTGATCTGCCTATGGTTGTATGTGTAGTGGTGTTGGTGGTAATGTGTGTGGTACCTCTGGCAGTGTTGATGCTATCGTGGTGGTGGTAATGGAGTGGTGGTTGTGCGGTGTTGGGGTAGTGGACATGCTGGTGGTGGTGCAAGTAGGAATGGTGATGTTTTTTTGGTTGAGGGAGTGGTGGTGGTGGTGGTGTTTTGGTTGTGTCGGGGAAATTGGGTGGTTATTGTTGTTAGTGGAACTAGCAGTGGTGGTAGTGTCGGCGGCGACGGGGTGAGGGTGAGGGTGGTGGTGGTGGTGGTATGTAATGTGACCAATTATTTGACCTGTGACTGATTGTTTGATTCCCTGTGACCAACTCTTTCATTACGTGTGACCAATTATTTAACTATGAACTTAAAATTTGATAATTGTGACCAACAAATTCAAAAACATGTGATTGATTAATAAACTGTGACTTATAATTTTTTCATCTATAATTAATTAAATAAATCATGACCTGTAAAAATTTTCATTCGTGATCTCGAAATAATTTGTGACTAGTTAATTTGATAATACGTGACCAATAAACAAGTTTGTAACTTATAATTATGAACATGTGATCATTAATGGTATATATGTGATCTTATTATTTTCAATTAATAAAATCTATTTATTTAATAAATAAAAACCTGATTTTTACATTTTCAAAACTTTAGACATGAAAATTGTATTATCCATACTTAATACCTTAATTGTGAATTTTACCCTAGCAATAATGTGATGATTTTAAAAGGGGCCAATTTTGTGCAGTAAAGGAGTTTTTTGGGCCTAAATTTCGGGTTGGGCTACAACCCAATCATCTTACTTGAAAATCCGACTCTACAAACAGAGAGAGATAAGGGTTTTTTTCCTTTGTATTAATTACTGGAGAACAATTTAGGGTGAAGGAGGGGGATAAAGGGACGTCTTCATCACCCTTGGCACTAATTTATCTCGTGTTGCAGTGATTTCTACTCGACTTCTTCAACAGCAAACTTGGAAGGTAGTGTCAGATTTTTTTATGTAATCGCACTCGATCTGATTATTGCGAATGGTTTGATTTCAAAATATATATATATATATTTTAAAATTGTTGTTCTTGATGATAATCTTCCTCTGGCAACTGTGATTTTCTCGACAACATTTCTCTTGAGTTTTTGATGCGGTTGTTTACGGTTTTCTTTTAGTTACAGCCAGTATTGTGGTTCCGTGATATAAGTGGTAAATAGATTAATAAAAAGTAATTTGATTGTGGTTCTCTGGATTGTTTTTCACGGACAATTGGATATGTATCATTTCTAACATTTCATGCCACCAAACTAATCCTTGTCCATTCTGAGATTGAGAAGTACTTCACAGTTCCAAATCCAAGCGGAGCTGTAATTTTATAATACAGTTGAAGATTATCAATGGTCTGGTTGACTAAAAAAAATAAAAATAAAAGAAACTAATAAGCACATTGTTAGGAAGAATAAAAAATCTGAAATGTCCTTTCAGGGCGTCTTTTTACTTATGGTGTCTTCATGATGTATGAATTCTTGCACTGCAGTGCCTTCGCTTCCTTGGTTGCCTTCATGCCTTGGTGCTTCAATTTGTGCCAAAATGATTATTTCTAGATCAAGATCCCTTTGCTAAACATAAAAATGCACTACATATGTTTATGTAACTATATGACTTTTTAAATCTGCTTGGAGAGGTGAGAGTGCTTTGATGGTGCAATCTATATGCTTATGTAATCAACAACAACAAAGCCTATTTGCAATAAATTTGATGTGGATTATTTGAGTTTTATATATATATATATCATCCGCTCGAAAAGCTTCATTGCTACTACTGGCTTTTGCTAGAAGAATGAAAACTAAAATCCTTAGCAATTGCAAATATGCAATGTTAGTTTTGATAGGCCACATTACTCCTTCTAACATGTTCACCGGGGTTATATCACTTACGAACGAGAGCCTTTTCTTATTTTAATCATAAGGGTTAATTAAAAGGTCTAACAGTCTAAGTGTGTGGTCTATTCAAAATCGCATCAACATCTGTTAGCTGAAGGATAATTAGCGGACAACTTGATATGCTTTAATTTTATGATATCACAATTCAAGGTTGTCAATGGTGTCAGTAGGTCTAAGCTGTTTTTATCTTCTGTTGTTTCTTCTCATAAGTTGAAAACAACATCTATTTAATTACACTAACATGTGAGAAAAAAGTCTAGCTAATTAATCATTATTAAAGTTGGATTGGTTAAGTCGAAGTAAGGAAACATGTCAATACTATATAAGCCATATTTCTGTTGCTTCTTGCTATCACTTATAATTATATTTTCCCAATAGATGTGGATTGTTTTAAATGCCTCAGTGCCACTTGTGGGCAATGTAGAGGAAGAATAGTTAGACACTGTTGAGGGATTTGACTCTCGTAGTACAAGACTGAATCCTATTATTCTGGCAAAAGGGATAACTTCAAGGATTTTGGATTTGTTGTAGAGTCCTGTGAGAATCTTGTTTTGATTACGAATGTGCTCAAACAGCCTCAAGGACTTCAAGCTTCATTAGCTTATGTCTACATAGTTGATGCCTTTATTGGATATTATCCTATATTGGTAGAAATTTTTGAAGTGTCTCTCCTTGTCTAACAGTTAATGGAAATATACAACAAAGAATAAACCTTTTGTTGGAAACACAAACACTATACATTATAAGGACGTGCACAAGAGGATAATTAGAAAGCTTATGATTCTTAACGGCTGAACATTGGTACATTCGGGTGGTTAACAACTACGACGTCGCAGTAGAACTTAGATTCATTGAAAGTTGCTGTTGTTTATTGTCTTCAAATATTTCTTTTTGACACACACACACACACATTTGTCTCAGATGCAGTAATTTCTTGGAAGGCTTATAATGATGATGTGATTTCTGAATCCAACCTATGTGGCATCCCATCCTATCCTTTTCCTAATTTCCTTCTGAACTCATTGGCACACTGCAGGACTGGAACTCTAGACCTAAAGAAGATTAAACTGAGTGCTATGGGGAGATCCAATCAGCACAAAGAGGGATATGGAAACATTGTTGAACTATCCCAGGATAATTGCTTGGAGGGCACTTCAGCGAGGACAAGACCTTTTAGTTTTGATGAGATATTGCTTAGAAGAAAAAACAAGGAAGAGATTGCTGAGAAAGTTAAAGATGATCCAGGGGGAATGGATAGTGCATTAGCAAAAAAGAATATTGAGAAGGCTTCTGAAAATTCAGAATTGTGTAGGCACAGGCATGAGGATGCTTTATCCAGTGGTTTGAAAAATGCTTTAAATGATCCACAAAATATAAGTTCTCGAGAAAGGGAGATTAAAGAAGAGAACTTATTCATGGATAAAGATAAGGAAAACCCAAAATCAAAATCTAAAGTGGTAAAAAATGTAAGCAGGAAAACTGAGAGACATTCTCACGGAAAAGGAAAAAAGGATGGTTGGTCAATTGGCGATAATGAAAATGAATCTGATAAGATGCGATCGAGAAATTCGGTCAGGAAGGACAGATTAGCTGAAAGAATTGAAGGAAAATCAGAAAAAGATAGAGAGCGTGAACGTCAAGTTAACATCGAGGATAGACAGGTCCAATTCAATAGAAAACATGACTATCGTATGAGCAATGATTCTGAGAATGAACCTGTGAAAAGACATGGAAGAGATATGATGGGACCTGATATATATGCTGACAGAAGTAGAGGAAAATCTGAAAATGAAAATAAAAGCAAAAGGAAACACCGTAATGAAGATGAAGATAAACTTAGAGACACTGGTAGAGAACATCATCTGGAAAGAAAATACAAGGATGCAACACGAATACACCATGAAGAGTCAAGGCCAAAAAGGAGACGGTCGCGGAGTGTAGAGCGTGGCATAGGAAGAGGCAGAAGGTCTCCTTCGCATTCACCTAAGACACATAAGCTTACATCTAAAGATACTCGGGAAAAAGGAGAATTATCTTTACATTCATCACGAGATAGATCAGGAAGATCACGGAGTAGGGATCGTGACAGAGACAGAGGTAAAAGGTCATCTTCACGTTCACCTAAGACACGTAAGCGTGCATCAGATAGATCAGGAAGATCACGGAGTAGGGATCGTGACAGAGACAGAGGTAAAAGGTCATCTTCACGTTCACCTAAGACACATAAGCATGCATCAATAGATACTCTGGATCAAGGAGAATTATCTTTACATTTATCACGAGACAGATCAGGTAGATCGCGGAGTAGGGATCGTGACAAAGACAGAGGTAAAAGGTCTCCTTCGCATTCACCTAAGACACATAAGCATACACCTATAGATATTCGAGAACAAGAAGCATCACTACATTCATCAAGAGACAGATCAGGAAGATCACAGTCTGATGTTGACAGGAATAGGATGTTAAGTAATGGTTCCAGTAGTCACTACGGGCAAAATGCTGGATCTTCCAGTGGGCTCGGTGGTTATTCTCCTAGAAAGAGGAAAACTGATACTGCTGCTAAAACTCCTTCTCCTACTCGTCGCTCTCCAGAGAGGAGAACTGCTGGGTGGGATCTCCCACCTGTTGGAAAAGAAAGCAACAATTACCTTTTTCCTAATTCCCTGTCTTCAGGCCAAATGGTATCATCGAACAAAACTGAGTTACCCAGTGTTACTCCAGTGGCTCCAAAGGTGGTGAAGCCGGATAGTGTTTCTTTCCATGCTTCACAGATTCATGTCGTTGAATCCATCCAACTGACTCAAGCAACCCGACCTATGAGAAGGCTCTATGTAGAAAACTTGTCTGCTTCAGCTTCTGAGAAAGCTTTAATGGAATGTGTTAATAACTTCCTACTATCTTCGGGCGTCTACCACATTCAAGGAACCCATCCTTGTATCAGCTGTATAGTATGTATCCAATCATTTTTTTAGTCTGCCTTACCTATAATTGCCATGCCTGCTTGTGTAAGGATTTAATGAGTCTGTATATTACTGCAGATACACAAGGAGAAGGGCCAAGCTCTTTTGGAATTTTTAACTCCTCAGGATGCTTCAGCTGCTCTCTCTTTTGATGGAAAATCCTTTGATGGGAGTGTTCTTAAACTCAGACGCCCCAAAGACTACAGTGAAGTAACTGTAAGAATTATAACCATGCGAACTTCCTTTTTTCTTTCCTTATGGTTGATCACAATAGTTACATATGTATTTTTTGTTAATTAGTAGGGACATGCTAAGCAGAAATATATTCATGTTGGTATTACACTTTGGCTTGTTAAAAATAATTTTTTTTGCCATTTTGCGTTCAGTTCCTTTCTTCCCTATTTATTCCAAGGAAGGTATTGTGTAATGTTATTTGACATCACAAGCTATTGTTGTTTCCTCAAGAAAAGGGCATGGCATAATTAAAGATCTTGTACGGTTTGGCTTTGATGCAGAAGGTAGAGAATAGAGAAATATGAATGTTTACTATTGATCTAGTGAGAGTGAAAGGGTAAGAGAGCTATTCAAAATGTAACATAATTTCTCTTTAGGCCAAAACTTTGCTCAAGCTTCTTTTGTTTTGGCACCACAAATTCTTGGTGTGGGATGAATTCTTTGACTATGACCAATCCTACTTATTATATTTGGCATGGAGCATGGAGATGGTTAACCACCATATCATACCCTCTCCCAACAAGTAAAGAAATACTAAAAATATAGCAAAAGAGAATCATTCATGATGGTCTTCCTCAATATATATGATTAGGGTTGGGCAAAACCCAACTCAAATCGCTCAACACAAATCAAAACGATTTGTTTGGGTTGGTTTTTAAGTCCAATTGGGTTGGGTCAGGTTAGGTAGAAAATTAATTTTCGGTTGGATTGGGTTGGGTTTGGGTTATGATTTAAAACCCAACCCGATGAATTAAAATAATTAATATCTAAGATGAAAAAAAACTAAATAAACACAATATATGAGAAGGACTTATAATTTATAAATGTCCGTTTCTTATATAGACTGATTCACATGAACACTTTGTACAAATGAAATATTATTTGATAATAAAGTAAAAATTAAGAGCATGATGATGAAATGAATAAATCCCAAAAAAAATTAAGCTTCTTAAATTTTAAACTTATTTATAGATTATTTTGTAGAATAATTCCTTATATAAATATTAAAAAAAAATAGAGGTTTTCAAGTAATTTAAAATTTTAAAAATTTATCTAAATTCAACAAAAAAAAAAATCGAATCCAACTTTAATTGGATCGAAGCCCAAACCGACTAACCCAACCCAAACTTGATCGGTTTGTGTTGTGTTGGGTTTAAACCATTAATTGGGTTGAGTCGGTTTGATTTTAGATCAAACCGATCATATTGGGTTGGGTCTGGATTGGGAAAAAATCGACCCAATCCAACTCATGCCCACCCCTTAATACGATGATAAGCAGTAGGATCTCAGAGCATAGATTTTCATAAAGTTTGGGCATAAAAGATGCAGGAACTTAGATTGTATGAGAACTCATCTAATGTCAATGTTGAAAATAGCATTCGTTTCTTTTATATTTGTGACATGGGGTAGGATAGAGTTACGCATTACTTGGTCTAGAAATATTAATCATCATCAGGTTATTGAGTTTTTGTATTTCTTTTCACAACATTTGATCTAAGCCCTTGTCTGGAGCTGATTTTTTGGGCAAAAAAAATGCTTTTTTCTACTGTTGGCAGCCGTGATTTTTGACCACAACTCTCACATGCGGGTTCCAACTGACCAAAAAGGGTCAAAAAATTGATTGTTTTTTGGATGAAAAAGCTGTAGCAGACGGTCTAAGTTTCATGCAAGATGAACCTTTGGCTGTTATGATTATAGGCCTGTAACCTCTTCTATGATCATGTTTACTACATGAAATGAACGGAAAAAATTATATTAGGCATTATAGTTCAGGAAACAGGTGGGTTATTTTGTTGGGGGGTTTGAAATTTTGCAGTTGATCTGTATCACATGGTGGAATAAAAAATGTTGTACTTTTTTCTACTGTTGGCAGCCGTGATTTTTGACCACAACTCTCATATGCGGGTTCCAACTGACCAAAAAGGGTCAAAAAATTGATTGTTTTTTGGATGAAAAAGCTGCAGCAGACGGTCTAAGTTTCATGCAAGATGAACCTTTGGCTGTTATGATTATAGGCCTGTAACCTCTTCTATGATCATGTTTACTACATGAAATGAACGGAAAAAATTATATTAGGCATTATAATGTTCAGGAAACAGGTGGGTTATTTTGTTGGGGGGTTTGAAATTTTGCAGTTGATCTGTATCACATGGTGGAATAAAAAATGTTGCTGCAATGCAGTTTGGTGTTATTTATTCTGTGTTTCTCGATGAAATTTAGTAAGTCTCAAGTTTCTGCTGTTATAATGCTGCTGCGTATGTTGCTCTCTGCTTGCTGTCTGCACGGAAAAATAACTACTATGTTATGATCTTTTCATTCGGTGCAAAAATTACTCATCCACTTAGAGTGTGTTTGATTGACATGGAAAATATAACATAGAAAAGAAAATGTTTTCCTTGTTTTGAGGAAAATAAAAACCACCTCCACCCAAGGAAAATATTTTCCTTAAAAACAAAGAAAATTAGGCATATTTTAAAAAGTTGGAAAATGTTTTTCATGGAAAAAAATAGCAATCAAACACTTCAAGTAGGAATTTGGGTGGAAAACTGATATTTTCTATGAAAAATAAATGTAATTTTCCATGAAAAATAAATGTAATCAAACACACCCTTAGATTTCTTTTGGTGAAATAGAACCTACCAATGCTGCAAGTCAATGCATGTATATATGGCAAGTTATTTTCACCAGATGGTGGACTGCATCAGTATACTCTTAACAAGTTTTGAAACAATACATATAAGATGTGTTGTAAGGCAGTGATGGGACTTCGTTAATCAGTATAAGCTCTTCTCTTCCATGCAGTATTCTTAAATCCTGATGTTATGTAAATCTTTAGATCTTGTCTTATTCTTCAGGCATGTGAGATATTTCCATCAATTTTACCGGCCATGCAAATAAAACATTCTGTTTCCTTTATGCATCCTTTTGTTTTATCAGTGCATCAGTTCATGTAGCTGAAACTATAGTTTGAGCAACTTCATGTGATTGTCATAATTTTTTCTTGATAATCAGTGGTTCTCTCTTTCTTTTTTATCAATGCATCAATGTCACTGTGATTGAGGTTTCAATGGCAATAATGTAGTCTCAGTTATTTTTTATTGAAAAAGTACTTTCTTTGCCTAATTTTCAGTTTCTGAGGTATATTGTGGTTACTATTCATGTAGCAGGTTTTCAGACTGTTGCTATTTTCATGCAGACTCATGATTCTGACAAATCAGTTGGTGCAGTTGATTCAATTAGTGGTACCGTAGAAGATTCACCCCACAAGGTATGCATCTTGAACATCACTTGACAAACTCGTAGTCCTTTAATTTTATCCTACAATGCAAAACCCAATTTCTGTATTATACTATTTGACACTTAAGATTTTGGTTATAGCTCTGTCCTGTTCTTGTTTACTTGTAGCATATTATAGATTGTTGTTTTTCAGTTTCAGAATGTATCCACTTATGTAGAAGTTAAAATTACTGGTAGCTGGTTTTGTTCTTGGGTATGTTTGGGTAACTGAAGCTGCCATGTTCATTAGCATGATTATCTTTGTTTCTTTTCTTTTTTCCTTCTCTCTCTCTTTTTTTTTTTTAGTCCATTATGGGCCTGCCCTGAACTTCTGGACTTACTCCTGATGTAGTTTTGATACCCGCCCCTAATTTACATATCTAAGCCCACGTATCACGGCTTAATCTATTATTAGCCTATTACTTCAGCACAAAAGTCCAACCCCTGTTCAAAATATTTAGAAAAACAACAGACTAAGGATAGCTAGAACAACATAAGCTAAATGATGGAATCAGTGGCACCTACTTTTAAAGTTTTACTGAAGAAGAGTAAAAAAATTTGGAAATCAAATGAATCTGGGGGGTTGGGTTATTATACCCATCCGTACCCATTATTTATTTATGTATTTGTTTGTCTGTTTACCCACTTTGAAATTCTGCATGGGTGTGCAAAGAAGATCGAAAGAATAGAAACATGTTATGCAGTATCGCAAATTGTTTTATTGTGTTATATGTTATTACAACTCTCTGCTTTTTTTGGCTCCACTTACTTTCTAACTAGCTCTTTTATGCAAGTGGTTGCAGATCTTTATTGGTGGAATTTCAAAACTTATTTCTTCTGAAATGGTAACGTAACATGGAGATTTGTAGTTTATGGTTTTGGTTTTCCTTTTTTGTCCTGTTCTCTACATGACTGGCGAGTAACTTTAACCCATATGCTTTAGCTTTTGGAGATTGCTGGAGTCTTTGGACCTGTGAAAGCATACCACTTTGAGTTTATTGTGGATGTTGATGAACAATGTGCATTTATTGAGGTATCTCTAAGTATATTTATTGGCTATCGTTTATTTCAACATTTTGGAGAATATGAAGCAATGCAGTCTTTTTTTTTCTCCAGTTCTTATCTTATGTACAGAGTTCTGTTTCATTACCTTGGTAATTTTAAGTGAAAAAAAAAAAAAAAAAACTTAAGTATGATCCCCCCCCCCCCCCCCCCCCCTTCTCTCCTTCCTCCTTAACATTGTGAAAGTAATTGATCAGCATTTACTTGTATTGCAACTGGACTGCTTATCTGTTGCAGCTGATTTTCATTTTCTTTTTGTATTATTTGTCTTCAGGTAGCATATTTTCACCCATTTGCGTGTATGAATTTTATCCTGACTAATTATTTCAATTGTTTCAGTATGTTGACCATTCAGTTACTCCCAAGGCATGTGCCGGACTTAATGGTATGAGTTTGGGTGGAAAAATTTTAACTGCAGTTCAAGCAACTCCGGATCCCTTGATATTTGTAATTCATCATCTCTCTTTTCTTGTTTACTCTTAATTGGAAGTGGAGGATCTATTATTAATTCCAATTTCTATCTGTCTTCAATTGTTTGCTAAACAAAATATTAATGCTAGGAAACTGTTGGAAAACCACCATTTTATGGGATCCCCGAGCATGCAAAGCCACTGCTTGAGAAGCCCACAAAAGTTCTGAAGCTGAAAAATGTGGTATTACTTCGAAGCTTTGGTTTTGTTATCTGCTGAATATCTTTGTTTCTCAAGTTAAATATGTACCTAGTATTGTCCTCTTATCCTCGTAATTTTTAATTTACAGTTGGATTCTGAGGGGCTCTTGTCATTGTCGGAATCAGAACAGGAAGAAATATTAGAGGATATAAGGCTAGAGTGCGCCAGGTTCACATTGATAAATTATTTTTTAAATTTTGACACCCTGCCGCTTACTACTGTAGTTTCCGCATAAAGAATCACTCTTCTGCTTCTATTTAATGCTGCAGATTTGGTACTGTTAAATCTGTTAACATTGTGAAGCCCACAAAGTCTCTCACTTTCACTACAACTGAAGCATCTGAAGTAATGAACACAAAACCTACAATAGATGATCACATGGAGTTTGATACGAAGATCAATAGTAGAGAAATACTCGGAGAAAGTATTAGTGATGAATTATCTGAGCTTAACAGATCAGAGCCTACAAGCGTTCCTCAAGATTCTGAAGACACTGTTCAAGCTGCTGTTGAAGGTAACAAAGAAGATGAAGATAATCCATCAAACAATTCTGGAGAACCTGAGGACAAAAATGAATCTGTGATGGTTGATAACAACCATTCTGATGATAAATTTGCTGGTAATTCATCTACTAATGATCGAGATATGGCAGTTCAAGATCCAACGTGTGAAAAAAATTCCAGTGGCTTTACTGGTGAATTCACCGACCAACAGAATAATTCGACTGAGAAGTCAAAAAGCAGTGATAACATTGCTTATTTTTTGCCTGCTGGGGTTCTTGAGACGGAAAATAAGCCATTTATTACAGAAGAGTTGAAATTACAGGAAGATAGTGCGGAGATGGGCAGTGCATTCAAATTGGACTGCGATGAGGGTAAAGAGTTGGATGCTTCTGAGAGAGGTGACAAGGAGACGATAATTGACCTTGATGATATATTTGAGCCCGGCTCTGTTTTCGTGGAGTATAAAAGGGCTGAAGCTTCTTGTATAGCTGCACATTGCTTACACGGACGACAATTTGATGGGCGGGCTGTGACAGTGGGATATGTTGCTCATGATCTTTATCAGATTAGGTTTTGCAGGTGAGCGAAATTCGTTGTTAACATGTAATCCAGATGTTTATGGCTACGAAGTTTTTCATTCCGTATAAATGACAACTGAAATTTGAAAGCTTACTATTTGTGGCCGCTGCAAGTTTGCATGATATGAGCATATTGAGTGACAATAATTATTTTTACCTTCACTTGAAGAATGCAACTCTAGTTTTCAAAATACGTAGCACAAAATATATAATACAATACCATCAGATTGGTAGCATGTAAAAGAGATCTCTTACAAATAAACAAGAAATATAATCTGGAAGTGGCAGCGGCAATAAGTCATTGCACAATCCATATAACAAACTCTCTCTTTGAATAAAATTACAATAAGTACCTCCACAGAGCCCGACGATCCCTTGATATCAGGAGAATTCTAGATGCTAAGCAGTCGAAAGAAGGAGAATACATGTCATCTGGTCCAATTATTTCTTTCACGTTTTGAGTGTTGCCATAATCCATTGCAAAACTTGAGCATATTGAGTGACAATAATTATTTTTACCTTCACTTGAAGAATGCAACTCTAGTTTTCAAAATACGTAGCACAAAATATATAATACAATACGATCAGATTGGTAGCATGTAAAAGAGATCTCTTACAAATAAACAAGAAATATAATCTGGAAGTGGCAGCGGCAATAAGTCATTGCACAATCCATACAACAAACTCTCTCTTTGAATAAAATTACAATAAGTACCTCCACAGAGCCCGACGATCCCTTGATATCAGGAGAATTCTAGATGCTGAGCAGTCGAAAGAAGGAGAATACATGTCATCTGGTCCAATTATTTCTTTCACGTTTTGAGTGTTGCCATAATCCATTGCAAAACAAGGCATTCCATCATCCTTCAAAGAGTCAAAAACAAATAGACCAAGTCCACAAACTCCCATCACATGGCTTGAATTTCCCCAAACTTGTGTCAATGCCTTGAAATTGTAGTGAGCATCTGATTCTGGAATCACGTAGGTGCTAAAAAGCCTCTGTTTGCGCAATGAGAACTGTTGAATCTGGGAGCAGGATTGGTTGTTTCCAGTTGACCTTAAATTAGTGCATCCAATGTATATAGAATCTCCACGTGAAAAAACTGACTCCACATTCACCCCAACTTTAGGTATCTTCAGACCTATACCAGATGGATGCCGGAAATCCAGTACATTAATGGAATCTGGAGTGCAGAACACACCATCATTTCCTTCCACTTCAGATGAACTAACTCTGCATAACATAAATAACAATTAGCGAGCCTGATTTTAGTTATTACTAAAGTAACTGACAATTGGACGTGTTCGGCACAAATCAAGAAATCCTAGTTTCCCTAGTACCATGTGTATCAAGGAAAATGTCAATTTGTGCATCTAAAGTGTTCAGAGAAACAGAGTGTTCAATGAGAAATGATCGTTCAAGCGTTATGGGATTTCAGTTCTACATGAGAACATTCGAAGTAACGAAGAGATCTGCAGTCAGCATCTATGGAAGATAAATCAATTTTTGAAGAGAAAATAGAAGGGATGCCTTGACCAGTTGGCGAATTAATGATATAACTAAAAAGGTCGCTCGATATATATTACCTCTGCCGAACTCCTCCACCAAATTCTGCATCAGAGTTATTAATGTGAAGAGCGGAAATTTTTCGACCAGATGAAGAAACAGAGAGCAAACCCTGAGAACTGAGAGAGCTCACATCCCATAAAGAAAGACTTTCTGCCTCAGCTATTACCACTTTGCCTCTATTTCTCCAATGCAAAGGACTCGCATAATCCATGGACATCACAGGCTTCTGCAACTCCCATTTCATGACCTGATCGCCATCACGAATATCATAAATTTGAACCATCCTTTGACAACTGACAGCTGATATAATAAGCGGTCCACAAGGATTATACCACCATTGTCTATTTTCAGTAGTCATAACTGTAGATGAAGCATTTCTTCTGTAAATGTTGCTAGATAAGGGAGCAAGGGTTGTTCTCACACGGGTAGCATCATTCTCAATGTGAAAAGCTCGTACATCTTTTGTGTAGAAGTCCCATGAGCAGAAACCCGAACCCACAGAATTCCCGGCAGATGCAGCCACAACATATTTACCTGAGCAACCATCTGCACCAGGGGCTCGGATTAGCCAACAATCTCTCCACATGCTTGGCGAGATTCCAGCTGGAGGAGTATATTGAGCCTTCTCCTGAAAGGAACGAATTAGCAATTGACAACATCCGAAGAAAGATATATTATTAGTCTATTTAGATTCATAATTCACTATGCTTTGTAACTAATATAAATTACATAAATCAATACTTGCTATCAAAAGTAGACAGCATCAGTTTAAAGATAAGTGCAAAAAATCAAACGTACAATAAAACCTGGAATTAGGAAAAAAAATATGATTGACACAACACACCTCGCAGTTGGCAATATCATAGAAGGAACATGAACCGTCATCATGAGTAAGAAGAACAGACTCTCCTTCCGAAACAAACCATCCTCCTGTGGAGGTCTTGTGTCCGATATCATTCAGTTGATACATGCAACTGTCATCAACTTCCTCTTCAGTTATCACAGTTGGCACTTTCTCTTCGTCGTCAAGCTCATTGAGATCTTCATCAGCCATTAACATGTCATCAATAATATCTTTTCCTTTTAACAAATTCAAAGATGAAGTTTGTGCGCCAGAAGCGGCGGCATCATCCATTTCTTGAACCTGACTAATCTCATTACGGACCTTCCTTTCCTCCTTACTCAAACTAGCCAAAAACTCCAATGCAATCAGATTCTCATTTACTGCCTCCAAATTCTGTTCACTACTTGATTCTCCTGCATTGACCTCATGGCTTCCCGACCCTTCAGATGTTGTCTTTGATAAAATCCTCTCCCTGATCAACTTATGATGAGGAAATAACCTCGCTTCCAATTCTTCACCGTTCAACCCCTTAACTGAACTCTTCACATCAACCGCACACTTTCTTTCCTGCTCATTTTCACCATTTTTAATTAATACCATTGTTGTATCCCCATCATTACCAACAACACGACCCATTGCCTTCTCGATCCCAGATATCTTTTCTTGAATATCTGACAATATCATCTTTGTAGCATCTGGATTATTCTTATCCAACATATCTTTGGTCTTATTTATATCTGAAGCTATCCTTTTCACCTTCCCTTCCAAAAATGCAAGCTTTTCATGAAGCTTACTGGGATACTTATTCATGGCATTCTCTCTCAAATCCCCAGAGACATTATCCACTTTATTCACTCTTCCAAATTCTCTTGAATTCGACCCTAATTCAACTCCACTCATGCAAGATTTCAGTTTTATCTCCTCCAAAGCCTTCACTTTTTCACCCAAAGCTATATTGGGCTTTACGTCAAAATTCTCAAGATCTGATCTTTTTATTGGAATTGAGCTTAAATATCCCTCTTTTTTCAAATTGTTACGATCCATATCCCTAGTCTCAATTTTCCCATTTAATTGGTAATGTTCCTCCAATTTATCGTAACTTCTCCCGTTTTTCTCCACATCCTTTGGAAACCTTCTTTCAGGATTTAAGCGTTCTACCAATATTTCATTCAAATCGGTAGTCTTATTCACTTTCTTTTGCGGTGGGCCCAATGAGACCCTGTAATTTTTCTTCAAATCACCCAAACCTCTAGTAATATCAGAGGGGCTAGAGCTCCTACCTTTGGGCACTGATGAAGTGGACCTTCTGGCACGCGACTCCTCCACCGCCACGGCGGCTGAAGATTTATCAATCCGGACCATCGGCCGGATCTCCGGTTTCTGTGTAGCAGCCCGAAGCTGTGATGTAGGCCTCGAGTTCTCCTTCCCGGTGGAAATGGATTTTGCGGAAACTGGGGTCAGAGATTTGAAGGGTTTGGATGCAGTGGTGGTGGTGGCGGCGATCTTTCCGCTGCTCTCTTTTGCCCGGCGAACCGATGACGTTGACATTCTCGTATTTAAAAATTAAATAAATAAATCAGATTTGAATGTGTAGTGAAGAAATCAAGAAATGAGCAAGAGGGATTTTCATTTTTTCTGTTATTGATCAATAAATTTAGGGTTTTCTCTAGGCGGGAAATGAATTTGTTTTGGTAATTTGAAAATTTCTGAAATTGGTGGCCCCGACGCCGCAGTTGTCCCCAGATTAACCGGAGCTAATTTCTCTTCTATCACTTTTAGCCAAATTATATTCTATTTCTTTCTCTCATATTTTTAATCACACAATCTTTCATAAAATAATATTACACATAAATCGAATATTTTTCTTTTTTTTTTCAACCACTCATTTAAAAAAATTACACTCATTTTCATTTCAAAAAAATAAGAGTCAAACGGGGGCTTAGCAATCTACTTCCCTCTGCTTAGATCATTAGTCACTTGCCTCACTTCACGTTATTTTCAATAAGAATTTTCTGAAATTGGTGGCCCCGACGCCGCAGTTGTCCCCAGACTAACCGGAGCTAATTTCTCTTCTATCACTTTTAGCCAAATTATATTCTATTTCTTTACCTCATATTTTTAATCACATAATCTTTCATAAAATAATATTACACATAAATCGAATATTTTTCTTTTTTTTTTCAACCACTCATTTAAAAAAATTACACTCATTTTCATTTCAAAAAAATAGGAGTCAAACGGGGGCTTAGCAATCTACTTCCCTCTGCTTAGATCATTAGTCACTTGCCTCACTTCACGTTATTTTCAATAAGAAAAGACTAACAAAATGTGCATGCAGATGACGAAACTCATATCTAACAGACTTAAACATTAACTACCATAAATAACGAGGAAGCTCAATGTTGAGAGAGAGGCTTTACATACAGAACCAAGCCTATAGAGCTATGCAAGAATACACACAAACATGGGTGGGGTGAGAAATTTTTGGAGTACTTTTTTAATGAGGTGGGACCCATCTTATGTCTCATATCTGTACGTCCATCTCTTCTCCAATGTTGATGTTGTTCAATAGGTATGGGGTTATTGGAATTATATGTTGAAAGACGATTTAAGGAAATATCTACTCATTGTATCAGGTATTATGTATTTGATGTCCTCTTTTTCAAGTTTTATTTGTTTTTATATATGTCGTGAAGTGAATGAGGCAATCCACTCTCTTGCAAAATAATCGCCTTTCACATTTTCAATAGATAAGCTTTCATTTTCCATTTAAATCTTGTCATCTAAATTCTGAAGTTGCTAATAAAATCTCTACGTTTTTTGTTTTACAAAAAGGACTATGAGGAATGAGTTGCTTCATATTATTAAAGCCATTTTTCGATAATTTCATTTTTTGCAAAAGACTAGCAACGAGTCACATTCTTGTTTTGTTCCGTTTCGTCCCATCACTTATTTTTGAATTTAAATTCTATTTTAAATCATAAAAGAAATAAATAAGTGCAAGGAATGAAAAATGATAATATTTTAATTCTTGTCCTGTTCATCAAAATCAGGAGTCGTGTGGTCTGGTTGAGCCACTCAACCCCCTCTCCTCATCATTTACTATTCTTATGTGACAAATAAAATATGATATGAAGGTTAATACGTGGGGTATATATGGACTTGCCTATCAAGTGTATCTCGAGGTTGACTATAAGTCACTCAATGCACGATAGTTACTGTGTGAAGAGCATAAAGTTATAGTTCAAAAGAACTATTTCATACTTAAAACACACAACACACATGTAATTGCTTACATTTTGATACTGACGCTCATATTCATCGAATATCAATCAGTCTATCTATATCTATTGATGTTACGAGACCTTTTTCCAAAGCTCGAAGGTGGATGAAGAGAGATATCCATTCGCTTAAGACAAAATATTACCTTATCACTTTTGATTGTATAATTTAAAAATTCATCATATACAAGTTTAGAAAAGAGATTGCATTCTTCAACGAGTGAAATCGAAATAGCAAGAAACCTCCTCAACATACTATTCATTGAATATCATAGTAGAAGCCATACATTGGGTGCAAAGAGGGTTCATTCACATTGTATATTTAGCCCTTGTTTTATTCTTATTATTTTTAAAATACACATTTCTTCATTTTTCAATAAAATAATATTACAAACAAACACAATTATTTATTCTTATTTTTTAACCACACATTGTCCATCAATCTAATATTCCAAAATTCATTCTATACTATCAATTGCAACTCGTTATTTAGAAGAAATCGTCGAGTAAAAATGTTCTCTTGTTTACGATTAAGTATTGGCACGTTTAGTAAGTTTAAAGGAGGCATAATTACATTAATAATTTTTTATTCACATATTAAAAAAAATAACTTTTATCTATATTAGTAAATATTTTGATGAATGACTTCCCTTCTTACCTTTAATTAATAAACCCTTTCTAACTTTTTATGATTTGGAATGAAACATTCTCTTACTTTTAATTAAAATTTTAATTTTTCTGAAAATAATAAAATATAGACGTTAGAGAATGTAACGGCTAGTTTAAATTCCAAAAAGAAGAAACCCCTTCTTTTGCCTTTCGGTCAAATATTGAATTTTCTGAATTATAGCAAGCAAAAAATTCCTCCCTCTCTCTCATAGCAAGCAAAAAATCTTAAATTTTCTGAATTATATCATGTGATCGAAGCACCATTTTTCTTAACGAATCTGAGAATATTTTCTTTCTTGAATTCAAGCGGAAATTATACAAGTATCGAGACGTCTTTGAGTTTTCTGTTATATTACAAAGAAGGAATACAGTAGACAAGTTCTGGGTTTTGATTTTCTTCTCTTTAATAATGGCTCCAACACCATCATCAAAATTGAAAACAGCCCACCAATCAAAGACTCCCCAATCGAAGCTCCGCCTGAACTTTGCCAAAGAAACCGCCTCCACCAACACGGTGGCGTTACCAGCCGAGCACCCGGTCGAAGTGATAGGCAGAATCCGAAACAATCCAGATCAGAAAGACAAGTCTCTCCCCACTCAATCAACAGTGCAAATCAATTCGGCTTACAATTCCTTGCGACTGAAAACCGACATTGGGTACAGGGATTTTACACTAGACGGCGTTTCATTATCCGAAGAAGATGATCTTGTTGGGTTTTACAGGAAATTCGTGGAGTCTAGGATTAAAGGGGTGAAGATGGGAAACAAATGCACTATTATGATGTATGGTCCAACCGGGTCGGGCAAGAGTCATACGATGTTTGGGTGTGCAAAGCAGCCCGGGATCGTTTACAGATCTTTGAGGGATATTTTGGGGGGAGAAGAAGAAATGGATGGTGAGAAACTTGGGGTTGGGAGATTTGTGCAGGTCAGTGTTCTGGAGATTTACAATGAAGAGATTTATGATCTATTGCCATCACCCAACTGTGGTGGAAGGTTTGGTCTTGGATGGTCTAAGGGAAGCAGCACTTCTAAGGTGAGAATTTCTTTGCATTTCGTATTCGCCTTCAGATTATTGAAAATGAACCGAGTTTAATTAGCTAAAACTCACAGTAATTATGCTTTACACACCTACCTGGTTATGATTTTTTGAAGTCTGTAGAAGAACTTGTATGATAATCCGTCTTGATGTTTCATATTCAGTATAACTTCGAATAAGTGTCATTGAATTTTTCGAAAGGACCAACAAAGGTTACCCAGCGAAGTTATGTGCAAACCTTCTTGACAATCTACCACATAGGTTTGCCGTTTAAGGATAACGTTTAGCCACCAATCTCACCTTGTGTCTTTCTAATGTGGCATAAGCTTCTTTTCAGTTAGAAAGTTGTACAATCCACACGTTTGATTAACCTGTAGCGGCACAATGACAGTTGTACCAAGTCTTTCCCCTTTTGTTCACAGGAGGATTTGAAGTTGTGGAAGTAAGGGACTCTGTTTAGCCGTAACAAAAATGCTACTATCTCTGAAGATAAGAATAGTCGACTAGTTTTTAACAAATGTGACATCTATGTATGCATAAACCTTCTTGGCAGTTGGTTGGAGACTTGGAGCAATCATAACCCTTCTTTGTTGAAGAATAACTTACAAAAACACACATAAGAGCTGAGATCTAGATAATATTCCCCAAAGAGTGAACTAGGACAGTTTCCGACAAATGTGAGATCCATATATGCATTTTTACTTCTGTTGGGTGGTAAAATTTAGAACCCTGCTTTGCTAAAGAATAGTCGACAAGCACTAAGATCAAGTATAGTGAGATATTGTGCAAGAGTACAAAAAATGGGTACCATGGAATCCATCAAAAACAGGAAAAACTACTGAAAACTCATCGGATTTTTGTGTTTAAGACTCTAGAAGGCTTTTATCTGATCAAATGGTTAGTAGTTAGCACAATTTTGCTTCCAACTATGATTTCAGAGTATTTTGCTTGAGTGATTTCTACAAGGTGTTTATTTTTTCTTTCTTTGATAGATTTTCCGTGTTTTTCATGCTAAAGTTAACATTTTGCAATACTATTTTGTTATGAATAATCATTACTAGAAGATTGAGGGATAATGCCCTTTTCTTGGAAATATGGTGATAAGACCTTTTGAAAAACATTCTCCCACTATTTGAGTCGGATGTCTTTTTCGTCCCCAACTTGGTTAATGAGCATTTTATGAAATATGGAAAACACTCTACGATCATCAAAGTCATTCTTTAATAAGTGCACTGAAGTATTCCTAGTGGAATTGTTGATAGAAGTAACCAACCAATGTGCACAAAAATATTTGAAATATGAGAACAGCCCCAAACTACTCGTTTTAATCACATAATCTTTCATAAAATAATATTACACATAAATCGAATATTTTTCTTTTTTTTTTCAACCACTCATTTAAAAAAATTACACTCATTTTCATTTCAAAAAAATAGGAGTCAAACGGGGGCTTAGCAATCTACTTCCCTCTGCTTAGATCATTAGTCACTTGCCTCACTTCACGTTATTTTCAATAAGAAAAGACTAACAAAATGTGCATGCAGATGACGAAACTCATATCTAACAGACTTAAACATTAACTACCATAAATAACGAGGAAGCTCAATGTTGAGAGAGAGGCTTTACATACAGAACCAAGCCTATAGAGCTATGCAAGAATACACACAAACATGGGTGGGGTGAGAAATTTTTGGAGTACTTTTTTAATGAGGTGGGACCCATCTTATGTCTCATATCTGTACGTCCATCTCTTCTCCAATGTTGATGTTGTTCAATAGGTATGGGGTTATTGGAATTATATGTTGAAAGACGATTTAAGGAAATATCTACTCATTGTATCAGGTATTATGTATTTGATGTCCTCTTTTTCAAGTTTTATTTGTTTTTATATATGTCGTGAAGTGAATGAGGCAATCCACTCTCTTGCAAAATAATCGCCTTTCACATTTTCAATAGATAAGCTTTCATTTTCCATTTAAATCTTGTCATCTAAATTTTGAAGCTGCTAATAAAATCTCTACGTTTTTTGTTTTACAAAAAGGACTATGAGGAATGAGTTGCTTCATATTATTAAAGCCATTTTTCGATAATTTCATTTTTTGCAAAAGACTAGCAACGAGTCACATTCTTGTTCTGTTCCGTTTCGTCCCATCACTTATTTTTGAATTTAAATTCTATTTTAAATCATAAAAGAAATAAATAAGTGCAAGGAATGAAAAATGATAATATTTTAATTCTTGTCCTGTTCATCAAAATCAGGAGTTGTGTGGTCTGGTTGAGCCACTCAACCCCCTCTCCTCATCATTTACTATTCTTATGTGACAAATAAAATATGATATGAAGGTTAATACGTGGGGTATATATGGACTTGCCTATCAAGTGTATCTTGAGGTTGACTATAAGTCACTCAATGCACGATAGTTACTGTGTGAAGAGCATAAAGTTATAGTTCAAAAGAACTATTTCATACTTAAAACACACAACACACATGTAATTGCTTACATTTTGAGTATTGGCACGTTTAGTAAGTTTAAAGGAGGCATAATTACATTAATAATTTTTTATTCACATATTAAAAAAAAATAACTTTTATCTATATTAGTAAATATTTTGATGAATGACTTCCCTTCTTACCTTTAATTAATAAACCCTTTCTAACTTTTTATGATTTGGAATGAAACATTCTCTTACTTTTAATTAAAATTTTAATTTTTCTGAAAATAATAAAATATAGACGTTAGAGAACGTAACGGCTAGTTTAAATTCCAAAAAGAAGAAAACCCTTCTTTTGCCTTTCAGTCAAATATTGAATTTTCTGAATTATAGCAAGCAAAAAATTCCTTCCTCTCTCTCAAAGCAAGCAAAAAATTTTAAATTTTCTGAATTATATCATGTGATCGAAGCACCATTTTTCTTAACGAATCTGAGAATATTTTCTTTCTTGAATTCAAGCGGAAATTATACAAGTATCGAGACGTCTTTGAGTTTTCTGTTATATTACAAAGAAGGAATACAGTAGACAAGTTCTGGGTTTTGATTTTCTTCTCTTTAATAATGGCTCCAACACCATCATCAAAATTGAAAACAGCCCACCAATCAAAGACTCCCCAATCGAAGCTCCGCCTGAACTTTGCCAAAGAAACCGCCTCCACCAACACGGTGGCGTTACCAGCCGAGCACCCGGTCGAAGTGATAGGCAGAATCCGAAACAATCCAGATCAGAAAGACAAGTCTCTCCCCACTCAATCAACAGTGCAAATCAATTCGGCTTACAATTCCTTGCGACTGAAAACCGACATTGGGTACAGGGATTTTACACTAGACGGCGTTTCATTATCCGAAGAAGATGATCTTGTTGGGTTTTACAGGAAATTCGTGGAGTCTAGGATTAAAGGGGTGAAGATGGGAAACAAATGCACTATTATGATGTATGGTCCAACCGGGTCGGGCAAGAGTCATACGATGTTTGGGTGTGCAAAGCAGCCCGGGATCGTTTACAGATCTTTGAGGGATATTTTGGGGGGAGAAGAAGAAATGGATGGTGAGAAACTTGGGGTTGGGAGATTTGTGCAGGTCAGTGTTCTGGAGATTTACAATGAAGAGATTTATGATCTATTGCCATCACCCAACTGTGGTGGAAGGTTTGGTCTTGGATGGTCTAAGGGAAGCAGCACTTCTAAGGTGAGAATTTCTTTGCATTTCGTATTCGCCTTCAGATTATTGAAAATGGACCGAGTTTAATTAACTAAAACTCACAGTAATTATGCTTTACATACCTACCTGGTTATGATTTTTTGAAGTCTGTAGAAGGACTTGTATGATAATCCGTCTTGATGTTTCATATTCAGTATAACTTCGAATAAGTGTCATTGAATTTTTCGAAAGGACCAACAATGGTTACCCAGCGAAGTTATGTGCAAACCTTCTTGACAATCTACCACATAGGTTTGCCGTTTAAGGATAACGTTTAGCCACCAATCTCACCTGGTATCTTTCTAATGTGGCATAAGCTTCTTTTCTGTTAGAAAATTGTACAATCCACACGTTTGATTAACCTGTAGCGGCACAATGACAGTTGTACCAAGTCTTTCCCCTTTTGTTCACAGGAGGATTTGAAGTTGTGGAAGTAAGGGACTCTGTTTAGCCGTAACAAAAATGCTACTATCTCTGAAGATAAGAATAGTCGACTAGTTTTTAACAAATGTGACATCTATGTATGCATAAACCTTCTTGGCAGTTGGTTGGAGACTTGGAGCAATCATAACCCTTCTTTGTTGAAGAATAACTTACAAAAACACACATAAGAGCTGAGATCTAGATAATATTCCCCAAAGAGTGAACTAGGACAGTTTCCGACAAATGTGAGATCCATATATGCATTTTTACTTCTGTTGGGTGGTAAAATTTAGAACCCTGCTTTGCTAAAGAATAGTCGACAAGCACTAAGATCAAGTATAGTGAGATATTGTGCAAGAGTACAAAAAATGGGTACCATGGAATCCATCAAAAACAGGAAAAACTACTGAAAACTCATCGGATTTTTGTGTTTAAGACTCTAGAAGGCTTTTATCTGATCAAATGGTTAGTAGTTAGCACAATTTTGCTTCCAACTATGATTTCAGAGTATTTTGCTTGAGTGATTTCTACAAGGTGTTTATTTTTTCTTTCTTTGATAGATTTTCCGTGTTTTTCATGCTAAAGTTAACATTTTGCAATACTATTTTGTTATGAATAATCATTACTAGAAGATTGAGGGATAATGCCCTTTTCTTGGAAATATGGTGATAAGACCTTTTGAAAAACATTCTCCCACTATTTGAGTCGGATGTCTTTTTCGTCCCCAACTTGGTTAATGAGCATTTTATGAAATATGGAAAACACTCTACGATCATCAAAGTCATTCTTTAATAAGTGCACTGAAGTATTCCTAGTGGAATTGTTGATAGAAGTAACCAACCAATGTGCACAAAAATATTTGAAATATGAGAACAGCCCCAAACTACTCGAGCCTCTTTCATTCCCTTGTAACGGCTAGTTTAAATTCCAAAAAGAAGAAACCCCTTCTTTTGCCTTTCGGTCAAATATTGAATTTTCTGAATTATAGCAAGCAAAAAATTCCTCCCTCTCTCTCATAGCAAGCAAAAAATCTTAAATTTTCTGAATTATATCATGTGATCGAAGCACCATTTTTCTTAACGAATCTGAGAATATTTTCTTTCTTGAATTCAAGCGTGCTCAAGTGAAACGAAAGCCTATGATGTTTGGTTAATCCAAAAACGTTATAATGAAAATCATAATAGCAATGTCAAATAATAAAGCAATATTTTCTTCAATAAAAGGAAATGTGGATGTCCTGGATGATGGTCTGATAGAACTGGATTTGGTCTTTATGGGATGACAACTTTTCAGAAAGAGATGAGAGAGTGATAGCAGTGAACATAATAATGCTAAGTGCTAAACACCAACATATGTGCCATTAAATGATAAGTTTAATAAGATGTAGGGAGTAAATGATTCATTTATTTAATATATCAATTAATGTCATTCAATGCCACCTAGATTGGTATTGTAGCACCCCTGTGCTAAATATACAAGTCAATCAACATTGCACCACTAGCTTCAGGATAATATCTTTTCTTTAGGCAGGCTCAATTATGTTCCTCGTAGCTTGGTCTCGAAATACACAGAGAGAAAATAAGAGCTGCAATTCAGATTTTTTTTATGATCTGATTAATTGACAAAAAGATTAACAGATAGTTTAGGCACATGCAATATGGACGAGGATGGTGTGAGATTGTGGTGACTCAGCTAAATACGGTAAGCAAGGTACCATCAACCAACTTGAATTTTTTATTGTAGGACACTGGCTACACATGGAGAAACGATGAGGAATTTATCATACTATTAGTAGGACAAAAGAAGTTGAAAATCAATCGTTTGAGGCAGTAATAG